CCCTTCAACTTTGATGCGCGAGCCGTCCTCAACGCCCTGCGTCGCTTGAAGACTAATCCAGTCTTCATCAGTTACAAACTCTCGTACTCGTCTTCGACACAAAAGTCCAATACACATCCCAATATTTGGCGGGTGTATTTTAACACGCCCTCTCAGCCAGCGGCGCTGCTGGTGAAGGGACACCCGGTAGACCAAATCATGCTGCACGGGGTACATTACGGCGTGTTCGTCAAAGATTACCAACCTGCACCGACTGGCAATGCTCGTCGACAAACTCACTGTATTGATCTGGAGAAACTGCTGGCGACACCCAATACTTTTCCTGAGGCACAAACATAGGAGGGAGATAATAAACGGGCTAAAATACACACTACCGACGCAGTGACAACTCATGTACCACCACAGGAAAAGCACAGTTGGACCCCCACTGCCGACACCCGTGGATAACGTTTGTAGAGTGGTTTTGCAATTGTCTCCGAACCATGCTTTTGTGTCAGTGGCAGTTCGAACGGAATATCAAACATAACGTTAAGAAAATACTTGCGGAAGAATTCACACAAAAAGAAACGGCACATCACTGGTAGGCCACGTTAGTTGTGTTTCACGAATGCGTTGGCGTTCTGCACACAAATATCCGTATAAATATGGTACTTCGAAGTAAATTATTCGGATATCATTCCACGGCGGGAAATCACTTTGTCCAGCGATGGTGCTCACGCGGAGGGAGTTGTCCTTGCTTGCCCCTTCGTTAAATCAACGACACAACGACGTCGTTACTTAGTGCTGTGTGCGTTAAGCGCCCAGTTATCCCAGACATCCGGTACAACGTCAATGCTGTGTCCGACGCCAACGCACTGCTGGACTTTCGCTTCGACGTCATGGGAATGAATAAATTGGGCTACTACTGTACTACTTGGTCTCCTGGCTGTGGTGATTGCTACTCAACGCTACCGTGCTTCCCGGGACGAAGTGATGTGTATCTGCTCGGCCGGCTGGCATTTCCAACTTGGACGCCCACGACTTCATTACAGTACCTCAAGCGCCTTACTTCGCTTGGAATGGGCGGTCAGCATTCACCTGAAGAAGCATGACATCTTCGTTGTCGTTGAAGACACGGCGGCGCTGAGGCCAATCAAGAGCTGCACCACCCGCCACTCAAACCTAAGTTTGGTTGGAGGGTCGTGCAGTTCTTGATTGACCAAGAACCGCCAATCATATGTACTCCGGAGTAGTTATCACGGAGGCCAATCCGTGAGATCTGCACTTTATCCAATCACGGGGCCAAATTTAGTCATTTCTGTCTTATACAGACAGTACTGTACAGTACTTCGAAGAATTAATACTACGTATTAATATGTGTTTATTACACACTACTTCGTACACGAAGTACATGTGAGTGCAACATGACAAAGTGGCGACAATCCGTTACGCAATCAGTGTAACTGTTGCGTGATAATCCTTCGAGCGCACTCAAGATGGCGACACCCAGTCGTGAGAAGGCGGCGCGCAACATTCTCAAGCAAAGGCATGTTACCCCGTACAAAATGAACAATCGAGATGCACTCATAAAGCAGAGGGAATGCGGTTGGAATGATCACTACTTGCTGCCACTGCAGCCGAGCGACGAGGTTTGAATTCTGCTACAATCTTTCTACATTCGATGATTCGACCTATGTGCATCAGGCCTCAGCCAAAGCCAAGAATGGCACCAATTATGTTTCCGCTTCGTTCACAGATCTTCCAGGACCGGAGAACCAAAACCACCTTCGTAGCGGCGGTACGTACTTTCATCAAAAATGTAACACCACTTAATCAGGGGCAAGGCTTCCTGAATAAAGCTAAGAATCCAAGACCGCGAAAAACACCACCAAACGGCAAGTTGGAGCCCATTCAAGTACCGAAGCCAATACGCGAGGTATTTATTTTAGCATACTGGTTCTGACCACTGCGTGGTAGGCTGATCATGGAGATGCCCAATTACGGCGACGAGCAGTAGCTTCGATCGAATACCGAGAAGAGATTATCAAGCAATTGTCGGATTTTATTACATGCATTCCAGTCAAAGTCCGACAAAAGGGACACGTGCATGTGCATGGAGCGAAGCCACATCAAAGTTTACCCGCGAACTTGAAGCCCAAAGATATCACGAACATCATCAAACAAGTACTGAATGGGCAGTTACACCAAGTGATGTTTTACAGGGGGGAGTTCGTAGATTTCCACCGAATTGCAAGTCGCTGGGATTCGATGTGTTGAGTCTATTGTGGCATGGATGCTTCACCAGCGCAACGCGTCCGAGACACCCCCTGTATTCGTTTGGAAGCAACAAAACTACTTTGTGCACATGTACTCGGACCTCGACTTTCTCGTCGACGAGCTTCGATCCCGAGGTATCCCTATCCCGCCGGAATTCACAAAATCCAACCCCCTGCTCGTGAATTCGAATCAACGCCTCGGGCGAGTTTGCGCAGCACAGTCGATTGTTGTCGAGATGGTGGAAATGGCAAAAGTTCACCATCGCCCATCGCCAAGCAGTCCACCCACCAGTAAACTGTCGACACCCCCTTCCGCTCAAAGGGCCAGAAACAACTCAAGGTCGTTGGTGCGTGGGGATGTAGGCAGTGGAAGCAACGCTCTGGTCAACAGCACGAGTTCCGTGGACAAAAGTCAAGAAAACAGCACACCAACCACAACAAGGGACCGAGAGTGTGTCTTGGATCTAATGCATTCTGAGACTGGCGCCTTGCACCAAGATGTACCATGTCTTAAGGACGATTCTAAATCGTCCCTACGACGCGATATCTCTCACGAAGGAGCGACAAGCAATGCACAAACACACCTCCAAGAGCCACCAGCCCCCGACGCATCCTTCTCTCAAGACAATAACTCGCACGCAAACCTTGGGAGTATTCAAAACCAAGAAATGCATGCCCTGGACGAGGCAATCCAAGACACGTTACCCTCGCACCCCAACCATGACATACCAGCATTCACCGGTATCCCAGTCATCACACGTTACCCAGCCCCCAGGAACCACGATGAAGGGAATAACCAGCCTAAATCGCATCCCATGTCTTGGCAAGAATCACTGGCAAACATTCCCATACCAGCCAGCGCAATTGCAGCACTGAGCTCGTGCTTGGAACCAAACGAGTGGAATTCCACGTCGGTGCTCCACATTCTGCACGACAGTCGCGCTTGGTTTGCCGCTGATTTGATTGGCATCGTTTGCGTTGTGGACCAAAATCTGCGCATTGTGTGTGCGAGTGTGCTGGACGTGATCGACACAGCCATGGCGCAACTGTTGGTATCGTTGCAATGCTTCGTACAAAGCAACTCATGTTCGGCCGCGGAAATCGAAGTCGACGACATCTTGGACGCGTTGACGTCGTCCGTGCATCCCCCCGACGTCCTCGTCAGCATGGCGCTCGAAGTTGCACAACAACTTGCAATGGTGCAGCCGTCGATGGTCGAACGGTTGCGATCGCCCAAATCCGCCGAGCTCTTGCGCTACTTGTACCCGTTTATCATGAGCGACAAATCAAAAGCGAGTTCGTGCTGCCAAATGTTCGCGATGTTGGCACCGATTGTGGATTTTGCCGTGCATCCATATCTCCTAGACTACCTGGGCAAAGGGATGCTCGTCATGGCCAATATCTCCATCGACTCCACGCTTTCCAAACTGTCGATCGTGTGCGATCGGACTCACCCGTTGACCACCAGCATACACAGTATTGACGACGCAACTGGGTGGAACTCGCTGTTTGACTTGTACCCGTTCTTTGCCTCCGCATACGGAGAAAAAATGGTCAACCACACCCTTGTGGAAGCGGGAGAGGGCAGAGGCCCGTTGAAGGAATGGTTCAGCCTCGTTTGGCGCGAGTTGTCCAGTTCGTGGGCGCGATCCTCTTCGCTGCCGACCCCGAATCGCACACTGACAATCCACGGTCGTACAGTGCATGCGCCGAACATGGTTGACACTTGGGGCGTGCAAACTGGCCATCGAGTGGATGTGACCATGCCGAACAGAGCTTCGACTTCGTGTCGCGTGGTCCAGCTGGTGGATGGCAACTCTGTGGTGGTGGATCAGACTCTCTCGACCGACGACGTAGTTGTCGACAGTGCAGACTTGACGTGGTTCACCCCCCAAGCTCCGATTTTCTTGTACATTCAAGACTCGGAAAGTTACTTTTTGAACGAAGTGACCGCGCAAGCGAGGACCAAGGATCTCGAGTTTGTTGGCTGGCTGGTTGCCATGGCGATGTTCCATCAAGTGACGCTTGAATGCAGACTCAACGTCGTCTGGTTTGACCTGTTGCTGGGGGCAGAGCTGACGTTAAGTCACATCCATGCCTTGGATCCGTCCTTGCACAGCTCATGGACGCAGCTAAGCTCGATGGATAACTTGCACGCATTTCTCGAAATGGAGGAATTGCCTGCCACCATGACCGCCGTCGAATACGTCAACCACGCTCTGCAAGTCAAGGCGACGACCTTCGCGTGGCAGATTCACGCCGTACGAAGGGGCTTCACGAAGGTGCTTCCCCTCGCTGGCTTGAAACAGTGCATGATGTCCCCGCAAGACTTTCAATTCCTGGTGCATGGTGAAATTCCAAGCGAGTAGTACAGCATACCTCTACCAATCCCACTCTAACTATGTACTAGTCCTGGCCACATCAACTTGCGCTCAATTTTCCTCGTGTCGATGGACAAAGAGTTTGAGGAGTGCAAACACTTCCACGATGCGTTTTGGCAAGTTGTCGACGCCATGACACCCGTGGAAACGCGGAAATTCGTCAAATTTGTCACGGGGGTCGACAAACTGCCCAGTCCAGGCACCGAGGTATGTACGACGTCGAAAAGTTAGCAAAAACGCGAGAATATGATCTTGTAGTTTCTTCGAATTGAAATCCCACACACGGCAATTGGCAGCTCGGAGCGACGAAAGCAGCTGTTGATGTTGCCTCAATCCCACGTACGAAGTTGCACATTCATATATATAGTCCCGTCTCAGAATCACCGTAGACTTGCGACAACATATTGGAATTGCCAAATTACTGGGATGGGTTGCGCGCGACATACGACGGACATTCCCCACCACTCGACGAGCTTGTGACTGTCCTTCGACACAAATTAATGTACTCTGTCGACAATGGAGGCGACTATGGTCTCGACGTGACAGCGGAGGGACCCGGGCGAGCAAAACGTGAAGAAGCCCAAGAAGAGCACGACGCATCTACTGACTCGCTGCAGTTGCCGTCGTTGATGGAGGACACGGCACCTGAAATACCAGAATTGGCGATCGACGTCTCCGTTCTACTGCCTCAGAACAACGTGGTTCAAGCCACCTTGGATACACCGAGCGATGAATCAGCCACGAAAGGTACTTCCAACGCCCCATCAATACAACCTATAAGTGGGGTCGACGACAATACCCCCAGAGCGTCGCACCACGACGGCGACGACGAGTACAGCTTTGACGACTTTGAACAGGTTGAATAATGTTAAGCACGTTGAAAATAACATGTTCACATCCATGAAAAAATCTTCCGCACGTAATTGGAAGCCACCCTCGCTTGGACTTACATTTGTTAGAAATATTGATTAGCCTCCGGTTTCCTTCCATAGGTTCCGCCATGTAGACATACTTCAGAGTTAAGAATAGAAATTTTCGGTTACGCCAACGGCGCACACTTGAAAGCATGGGCTCGTTTCCGTCGACGTCGCAGTCCAGCAAACGCGGGGGCACATCGCGGGACTTTGTGAAGAAGGATGATGGCGACAAAATCACCACATTACCGACGAATCAAAATCAATCGCGCGTCGGCTCGGTGTGCTACGAGCACCTGAAAGGCATCCCGCTGGCCACGTTGCTAGAATCGTCGGTTGGCTGTAAACATTTTACTGCCCTTTGCACTAAAATCAACCGTGACGACGTAGTGCAGCTGTACCTTGCCCTCCAAGGTATCCGAGATACCCCTGAGAGCCCCCCCACCACCACAACCAACCACCCGCCCGCCGTCATTGAGACCCATCTGCGGCGCATCACCAGCACTTCCCGGCTCAACAACAAGACGATTGCCAACCTTCGGATCAGTTTGAACGCGCTCGGCCAGACCAAGTCGATGTACGACGTCCAAGATATGATCAGCGAAATCACAGCAACCTTGACCGAGCAAGAGTACCAGTTCTGGCTCGTGTCGCAAGAAGGCCGGGACTTTGTGGGTGAGTCGGCTCGGTTCGAGGCCTTGCTGCAAGATCAAATCGCCATGTGCTACTTCCACCTCTTCCTCGTGCAAGAGTACTCGTCCGAGAACCTCGAGTTCATCGAGTCGGTGCTGCAATTCGAGTCGACTTGGATCCACTCGGACGTGGAAACCAACTACCAGCAGTCCAACGTCACCCATGCCAAGCGCATCGTGACATTATTTATTGAAGAAAACGCGCCACTGCAAATCAACGTCCCGAGCAAAATACGCATCCGCTTGGAGCGCAAAGTCATGAAAGACGGCGAAGCCCCCAAAGACGTTTTCCGCCTCGCCAAGAGCGAAATATCCACGCTCATTCAACGTGATAGCTGGCCGCGCTTTATCAAGTCCAGTTGGTGGAGCACATACCTCAACTACGATATGGCCAAAGAGAAGACTGACAGGCCGTCCTTCACCACACCCCTGGCCAAACGGCAACGCATTTACATCCAGTTTATCGGCGAGGACGACCTGACCAGTATTCTGAGTTCCGACTTGGGCCGTGAACACCTGCGCATCTTTTTGGCCCTAGAAATGAACACGGCGGACGGAAGCGCGGAATTTCTCGTGGCCATCCAGCAGTATCGCGTCTCCACATCGGAAAACGATCGATCCGATTTGGCCCAACAAATATTTGACACACACTTGGCCCACAATGCCCCCGCACCAGCCTTGCACGTGTCTCCCGACATCGTGGATGGTGCGAAAACCAATTTGGCAGGGCGGCACTTGGAAGCAGTGACCATCGAGTTTACCAAAGCTGGCGCCGCCACGGCGGCATTTCTGGAAGTCCACGTGTTGCCGAAATTCAAAATGAGTGGGCTGTATGCAAAATACCGAATATTGTCCCAACAACGGTTGCGCGTGGAAGATGGCCACGTTGGCGTGACAAACAGGAAAAGCTCGCTCGTGTGTTGATTACTCAAATCAATGTATATTATTATCGCTCAGCTACAGGCTGGGTATTCGAGTCGACGGAAGTAATCGTACGTATTTGAATGTGGTAGAACTTGGATTTTGGCAAGCTGCATCCGCTAGAGTAGTCTAGTTCGCGGGCCCTCGCTGCACATTCGCGCGTTCGGGTGATACGTAGTGAGCTTGTAAATACCGCGTAATTTCATTTCATTTCATAACTTGGATTTTGGAAGAGACCATGTTGTAATGAGCTCTAATTGGCACTACTGCATGAGACGCATTGGAAAGTGTTAATCTAACGTAAAAAAAACTGTTTAAGATAACTACCAATTTAGGATAACTTTGTATTGCCCAATCACACCTCGTTATTTGTTCGAGTCAAAACCTCTGTCATATACTTGTCTATTGGAATCACTATTCAAAACTCAAATATCGTAACGGACTCAAAAGTTATGTCCATTCTACTCCGACGCCTCCAAAAAAGTTATCTTAACTGTAAATTGGTTTTTTACGTTATCCGTAGGACGTGAATGACGTTGATGTGATCTTAACTTATCCCAGTGTGTTCCGCTTGAGCAAAAACTTACAGTTCGCTGTCAATGCTGGAAAAAATGGGTTACAAGCGCGCAATAAAGTACTAAGGGGAATAAGGGAAGTTCCAAGTTAACTAACTGTATTAATATTAATAAGTACTGTAGTAACTAAACGATGGCACGCAAATACTACAGTAGTAACGTTATGCAGTTGGCCCAGATCTTGTGATTATCGGGATACAACAAGCTTATCCGGCCGCATGGTGTATTCTTCGATTTGTCGAAAGGTCACACTTGGCAACTTAAGGTCGACGTGCGCCGCAGCCAAACGTGACCCCCATGGCACCGAAGAAGTCATCGCCGACAAAGAAGAAAGCGAAGGAGGTGAAGCAAAAACTTGGAGCATCCGACACAGCCCAAGATGCAGTTGGTGACGCTCCAGGCCCTGCAGCAGACATTGACGACGCAGATCTGTACCATGAACCAGTACGTGAACGAGTCGGTCGTCCCATCTGAACTAACACACACGGTTGCAGATAAAGAAGATTGTGATTCCCGACAACCAACTCCGCCTGAGTGAGCAAGAGCTCAAAGAAGAGTTTTCCAGGTGTGTGTTGTCCAAACCATATGCGAACATGACAATACCTCGATAGAGTGCTGACAGCAAACGACCCGAACGTACCAAACAACATCACCAAGTACAATTATAAGGAGCGCATGTACAAGGTTGATCCTCCAGGGCCAGGCGACAACTTGTACCTGCATCTGTCGTCGGAAGGGAGCATGATCCACAAGGAATCGGAAGACGCCAAAGTTCAGGCCGCGTACGACATGAAAAAGGCCGAAGAAGAAAAGGAGGCGCGAGATGCGGCCATTAAGCAAGCCAAAGAAGAGGCAGAAGCGAAGGGCGAAAAGATCGACGAGTCCAGCCTCCAGTTTGAATCAGGCAAAAACCAGTTCAATTACAGCGAGCGCGCAGCCCAGACGTACACGAACCCACTGCGCCAACGGTCCATCGAAACCGAGCCCCCGCCAGTGGTCAACTACATGGCCACGGTGACCCAGGTACGAATTCATAGTACAGGGTTTTGGTTTCGTGTTTAACAGTTTGATTCGTGTTTCGTAGTGGGATATCTACGACACGTACATGGAGTCGTACGAGCAACATCAGCGCGAGCAAATTCAGCTGCAAAAAGCGGCGCAAAAGAAAGAAAAGGAAGACAAGGACGTGGCGGACGTGGTCGTGGTGACTCCGTCGAAGAACAAGGACGACGACATGGTGCACAGTGCAGCGATGGGCAAGATCCTCCGCGTGATCGAGCGCATGGTGAACCAGAACGCTGAGGACGAAATCTTTCAGGACTTCAAGTACTGGGAAGACGCGTCCGACGCCTTTCGCGACGGCGAGGGGTCGCTCTTGCCGCTGTGGCGGTTTTCGTCCGAACGGGCCAAGAAGAAGCAAGTGACGGCGGTGTGTTGGAACCCGTGCTTTTCCGACTTGTTTGCGGTTGGGTACGGCTCGTACGACTTTTTGAAGCAAGGGTCGGGGCTCGTGTGCTGCTATTCGCTCAAGAACACGTCTCACCCAGAGTTCATCTTTGCGACCGAGAGCGGCGTCACGTGTCTGGACTTTCACCCGCAGCAACCGGCTTTGCTGGCAGTTGGGTGCTACGATGGCACGGTGATGGTGTACGACGTCCGCAACAAGATCAACCGACCCATCTACACGTCGACCATCAAGACGGGCAAACATACCGATCCTGTGTGGCAAGTGAACTGGCAAGAGGAAGATCTGGCGAAAGAGTTGAACTTTTTTTCGATTTCGTCTGACGGGCGCGTAGCCAACTGGATCATGAGCAAGAACGAGCTCAAGATGGAGCCTGTGATGCAACTGAAGCTCGTCAACACTGCCAAGGACGACCCCGAAGAAACGTCCTTGTCTGGCCTCGCTGGCGGGTGCTGCTTTGACTTTAACCGGTTCAGTGAACACTTGTTCGTCGTGGGCACGGAAGAAGGCAAGATCCACAAATGCTCAAAGGCGTACTCGGGCCAGTACCTGGAAAACTACACGGGCCACCACATGGCCGTCTATGCCGTGCGATGGAATCCGTTCCACGAGCGGTGCTTTCTGAGCTGCAGCGCTGACTGGACCGTCAAGCTGTGGGACCACAGCATCCCCGAGCCCATCATGTCGTTCGACCTGGGCAACTCGGTCGGTGACGTGGCATGGGCGCCGTACTCGTCGACAGTGTTTGCCGCCGTCACGAGCGACGGAAAAGTCCACGTATTCGATCTCGCCGAAAACAAAAACGAGCCGCTGTGCGAGCAAAAGGTTGTGAAAAAAGCCAAGTTGACGCACATTACGTTCAACACCAAGGACAGCATCGTGCTGGTGGGCGACGACCGCGGTGGCGTCAACTCGCTCAAGCTGTCGCCCAACCTGCGCAAGGTGGAGCCCGTGGACGAAGCCGCCGACTCGACCAAAGGGAGCAAGGAACGACTCAAAGCCGAGTTCGACAAGGTCGACAAGCTGCTAAACACGAACGACAATAAAGCATAGTCAAACGAACAGGAAATCAACACCCTCCATCATATATTAATCCTTGCTTCAAACGGCCACGACTGTCCATGCGTTGGTGGGACTAGTGAAATCGTGGCTGAGCAGCCCATTTCGATCTCGAATGGCTTGCAACAGATGCATACCGTTGTCCAGCCATCGGTAGAGGGCTTGGAATGGGGCCTTCATTTGGTCGATTTGGTCGACCAGTTTCCATTCCGGATGGGACTGGAATTGGAGCAGAGTTGTCGCTACGGACTCGGACATGGTTGCCCACGCCACGTGGCGGTTAAAGCGTTCGTAAAATCGGTGCGGATTAGTCAGCAGTTGGCATGCAAACTTCCAACTGGACGCCCCAGTGATGGTGCTTGGCTTTTTCAACGACGAAGCAGAGTAGCACATCATGGTTGCTTCCATCACCAGCGCTTCGGCGATCAAGTAGTTTTCAAAGTTGGGGGCGTCGATGCTGGATGCGTCACACGCTGCCACGTCATGTTGCTGTTGAACGAGGTCGTGTATTCGATGAACCAAGTCCACGTCTTGGCTTTCGCGGCCACCCAAGTGAAATTCTTCAGTGGGCACGACAAACACAGCCAGTCCCCGCCAATGCCCTTCCGTCAAGTAGTGTTGGACGGAGCGTCCTGTCAATCCAAAATTCGCGTCCTCGACGGTTTGGACATCTAACATATGGTCAGTAACCGTACACCTAACGACGAGGATGCGATGACGATGCCTACTTAACGAGGAAGAGTGTAGTTGCAGACATGATTTCAACCTGGCCACCGATTCTGGAGTGCAAAACGCACTAAAGCAGACGCGGACGGGAATAGCCTGGTGAAAGCAAACGTCCACGGCACCCCCGCCTCGCAAAACGTTGCAGATCCTGTTCAGGCACGATTGGCAATGCATAATTTCACCACATTCTGCCGGTTGTGAGGATGCATGGAGCGAGTTCTGGTCGTCACTGGTCACTTCAGAACAGGGGGCGCTTAGCCCCAACACGACAGAGCTGAGTCCGTTTGTGGTTCGAAGCACAGTCGAAAACGACACTGCTGCCGCGCCTTGACCCAAGGGCCCTCGGATCTGCATGGCTCGGAACACAAGGCCGCTTCGATACTCGAGTTTATCTTGCATGACCACGACAGTGACAAGGTAATACCGGCCATGCTGCTGAATGCCAAACCGAGCAACACTGAACATCCGAGCATACGTGCAAATGCAGTGCTGCAGCCACGGCACATTGACGGCACAGTTGACTCCATACACTCGTGTGTCGGCAAACATAGCACGGAGCTCTTGAGTTCCAAGCGATATTCCCAAGGGATTCACGTCGTCTTTGCACACGGTTGCGTAGTGGGTTGCTTCCCCGCCAGATGTGGATCGAACGACGTAGTTCATGCCACTGTCGTACACTTGGACGTGGGAACTCGGGCCATCCGTCAATGCAACCGAGCCAGCAAACACTATCGGGCACGACGTCAAGTCACCGATGCTATACGTCGTCACAGCCGTTGAAACTACACGTTGTCGTCGTCGTTGCCTGAATGTCACGTCCACTGCACTGTCGCAGGACGAGGCACACACTTCAAAGTCATTTGCGATGGTCTCGTCAATGTTGGTGGAGACTTCTACCACGGAATGGTTGCCCATACTGGCGACAACAAACGTCAACGTGGACGTTGTTTGTCTAAGGTAGATGGCGACCAATGCATATTCGTGGCCAAACGATGATGTCGAGGATGGCAACTTCATCCCTTCCTTGTGGATGCACACCACCGCCTCGTCGTCAACACGAGCTCGCAGTGGTCGCGGACACGCACTTCCACACCACACTAGATTAAAGCGGCGCTTGCGTTTCACATACACCACACAAAGCCACCGGCAAAAGAGTTCAAAACCTGACACGGCACGCCCGTACCCCCACGCGTCGTACTCGGTGTCGGACAGCCGCAACGACAGAACGGATGGCGATGCTTGGTACCCCACCACGAGAAACAGCAGCCCACTGGGAGTGTACCCCTGCGCTTTCTTGCATATAATGACAACGTTGGCGTCGCACTCGCCAAGTTTCAAGCCGCGCACGATGCAAGTAGGAACCAAGAGACGCTCGAAAAATCGGAGTTGATGCCTGGTTTTCAAGATGGGCGCTGGGCCGTTTTGTTCAAAAGAGAGGGGAACGGTGACGTCTAGGTCCTCATAAGCCATGAGTTGGAGCTCCAGCGATTTGTCGGGGCGAGTAGTTTGGGATGCGACAAGCACGCCTTGACCATTGGCGCCAGCCAGCGCTTCTTGGTTGACTGGTTTGCGTTGGTTGATACACTTGCCGCTTTGCGACTTTTTACCAATGACTGGCAGTGGTTCATTCGTTTCCTGAAGGGTTCGTCTGGACTTGGCAAACGAGTGGTTCCGCATTTTCGTTATTTCCCTAGCATACCCTCGCACGTTATATCAACACATGTGGTTTCATAATGTTACCTCAACTTCGCATCACTTTGCTTGGTTTGGGCATCCACGATCGACATTTTTCGCTGGCTCGCGAGTTGCACAAGAGTTTGCTGGCTGTTTCGTCGAACCAAATTCAAGCGAGCAATATTCTTGGTTCGTTGTGCGATGGCATCTTCGACCAGTTCAATGCACTTTTCAATTCCTCGTGTATATCCAGCGCATTGTGCCAGGGCTAGCATCCTTGCACGCCCGCAAAATGCACTACGTAATCGGATAAGGGCAGTAGGATGTGGAATGTAGCACCTGTGTGAGTCTGGAATACTGCATGCATGATTCGCTTGTATCCACGATCGCTGCACAAATGTATGAATTAAGTGATATGTATGCATACTTATCGGACTTACTTCTTTGTCCACGTCTGTTCTCTGGACGTTGAGATGCGCCAACTTGTCATTGTCGCGAGCTAATGCTTCCTTTTCAATCCTACACGTTATGCCATGATTTCGGTCGAAGTTTTTATGTTCACACCACGTATGTCCTTACTTGAGTAAGTGTTTGGAAACCCGTATATTGCGTTCTTGGTCTTGAGCAACATGTTTCCGGAGGCTGGACTTCGACGGTGCTGGTAGCTTTGTATTCGAGTCTGATGGCGGCGTCGGCTGGTAAGCCCAAGTGGAAGTACATCGTGGCGCTCGGCCGTACAGACTTTCTTCAAACAGTAAGGTCGAACACACGACGGACTGGTTGGACGGTGGTTGCTTCAATTCCGGAGTTCCTCGGTCTTCGTCAGCCATATCATCCAAACCTTTCGACAAGAGCAGTGGATTCCTTCGGACTTGGTGGACGTGGAAGACGTCCTTCCACCGCGCTCCAGCAGCGGCATCGACGGTCGAACGACAGTGGCCTGTTGCGTCTTGTTCGAGGTCCGATACCATGTACAACAAGTAGTTTTCGGCCTCAGCACACGTGAACGGTACATAAGGATTCGGCAGCATGGATCTCCATTCGAGTATTCGCTCCACGACGTCGATCGTTGCCGACCGATACAACAAGATCAAATCTTCGATTGTGGCAAACTCTCGACCATTATTGGTACTTCCGTCTTCGTTGTTGTAGACACCAGCGAGGATACGACGTTTCCACTTCTCACGCACCCGTATGCATCGCAACACGTCGAAGGTCACTTCTTCCACGGTGTTCCAAGCTGGCATCGAGCGAATGCTTCGATCGTAGCAATCCCAATTTCCGTGGTGACGGTTTCACCACACTCAAGGCAGTTACGTGCCGTTTCGTTGCATCAGGCGACATGGATCGAGCACGAAAGGCCCAACCGCATGCAAACGAAGCGATCTGGACGCGGGAAGTGTCGCGGCAGCTGGAAAATCATTTAACTCGCATCAACCATGCCCAACCCTCGATAGACACTTCCGTTCCAAAGACAGCGGCGAATGTATCCACTGGATCCAAGAAGAACCAGCTCAAGGAGGACCGGTTGGACGCCATCGAGATCGAAAACAGACGTCTCTTGGACCGCATTGCGTCCATTGCGCTCTCGACGACGAAAGACAGCGTGGACGCTCCGTCGAATCACCCTACCGTGAAGAAAAGCCTCCACGAAGGACAGCGAAAGCGGGAGCAGCAGAAAATTTGGCTCGAGAATCAAGTGAGTGTCATCGTCCATTTGAAAGCTAACAAGTCGTCAGGCATTGCTGAAACGATTGCAATCGGCCAAGTCGACCATGAAACGAGTGAGCGACGCAAAGGCCGCGAAATGGGTACACCAGTTCATGTTTGTACTTGTCTATTCGAACAATGGAACGTAGAAATTGAAGTTTGTTAAGAGCAAGGAGCATAAATTGACTGCCCAAGATACCATCGATCATCAACACGACAGCACTGCGGACGACCATGCAGCCATGACAGCCAAACCTCGACATTGCAAGAAAGGGGGAAAACCGTCGAACAAGGTCTTCATTGATGTCAGCACATATCGCCCCCACAGCGTCACCGACGTAACTGCTCCAACATTTGTGAAATTACCCCCCCTTCAATGCGACCCGCCAGTCACAAACGACATTACATCGAATGACCGACCAGTCCCGCAACCCACCGACGACGAACTCCTCCCTACTAGTCAGCCTCACAACGGAGCAGCGTACACGCTTCCATCCATCGTTCTAACGAAAGACGGGGTAAGTTCAGCACCGGGTTCATCCCCAGCCCCTTGGAGTCCGTTATCCGCCATCGATTCCCCACCAGTCCCTCCAATGTCCTCGTACAACGACGATGAATCAGACGCGGCTTTACTCCTGCCGCTCGTCTCAACTGACCCAAAGGAGGACTGGGTCACTGTCGTCACCACAAGCGCACCCATGGGCTGCAGTCGTGAAGGATCTGCAGCCGAGTACCTGCTGGAGCAGACACCTTCGGTCGAAGCGCAGCCCTTGTTGAGCAGCCAAGAGACGGCACTTGAGCCTCGGATACAGCAAGCAAGTGACGTTACAACTGACATAATCGCCAGTCATCCCATCACGCCACAACCTTCGCATGAGCCCGACCATGATTTGGGCACTGACGATACCGACGCAACTCAACATGGCTCCAACGCGCACGAATTGGACAATCCGTTTGGGCCTGGCCCAGAAGATCCAAGCTGCCAGGCCAATTCAAGCACGGAATCCACACGCCATCCTTCCCAAGACGCCGTTGCCAGTGAAGACCTGCATGGAAATCAAGTTGATGCCATGGTTGAAGGAATTGCTTCCCATCCAAGTCCAGCTAGCAATGCTGAGGATACAAGCAACATTTCAAGCCGAGAACGAGTCGTTTCAGCCGACGCCGTAGGCTACGTAGACAGCGCAAGGAACGACAACGTGCCACTGAATCCAACGGCATTTTTGATGCGATGCGATTCATTGACAAGCGGTCACTTCTTGACGCCACGACACCCGTCCTTCGAATCGACAAGTCCGACCTCCTTCACATCTTCACCGGCGGAGTATTTTGCATCGCATCAAGCCGATAACTTTAAGCGAGAAGACCCCGTGTACCCAGACCTAGAAACAGCACCGAAGGACAACGATGGTCACGATTACTACGACGAATTCGAAGAGGATGCGCATGAAGCGGAGCCACCTGTCGCCATGATTGCAGCTGAGGTGGCGGACGTTAGAGGTCGTGACTTGCCCGTCGACCTTTTGGCCGACAACGGCACCAGTACTGCAACTGCGGCTAGTACAGTAACGCCACTCGATTCCAAAGCAGAGCTCGATGTCAAGTTTGAACGAATCCACGCCACGGCGATTGCAATTGTTACGGCTGCGACTGATGAGGCAGTAAAGACAAAGTCAGTCCACAAAGAAAAAGCAACTCAACATCAACACGCCCTTGACCACACCATTGTCAGCACAAACCACCACGACATTGAAGCACAGCCAGCAGTGGATTGTACTGATGAAACTTCAATTGGTGATGGGCTTGCGACGGCCAACACTGAGCAACTCCTGCCAGCAGCTTTTGATCCCAGCAGCAACCTAGTGCACGCTACTTACACTTCTGAAGGAGCGAAGGTCGCAGGAGTTTCAACTATCGGCACGACCAACCAAGACGGACCCACAACAGACGAAAATGTCACGAGCGACTATGCTGATATCAAAGGAGATGGTGGGAGCCGGATTCACGACTCGAATGATACTCAGTCCATGGGTGGTGGTGTTTCCTCTGTCAACTCGACCGACGAAACGACTTACGAGCAATGCCCTCCAATCAACGTCGACAACAGCTCACGCAATTTGGACGGCCGCTCGATGCCACTTCCTACTGCGTTCTTAATGCATTGCGATTCGTTAACCAGGGGCCACATTGCCAACCACGAGCCACTGGAAAATGCGTTGGATTCGTCTCCGTCCACATCCCCTGCCGAGTATTTTTCAGGCCATGACGACGACGGCTTTGAGCCAGAATCACCCCCTGAAAAGTCCCCGAGTCCCCTGTCGTTTCGTCATGACGTGACTGACGACGAACAAGACTACAACGACGAATTCGAAGAAGATGCTGCAAAAGTGAGTGACGAAGCCCCCGTCCCACCGAGCGAACCAGGCGATATTGCTACGAGCTGGGCGCTAGAGGAGAGCGTAACCAAGCACGAGTACTACGACGACGACTTCGACAACAAATGACACATGTCATGTTATTTAATTAAAACCAATCTTTTTGTGGTTACCAGGTCATTTCAAGGGGATAATTTTGCAATCAGATCGTCCAATTTGGAACTTTGCGGGGCTTCACACTTGGCGACGGCGGCTGACGACACATGACGTTCTCTCTTTTTGGACACCGCTTGGTATCCCGTTGACACCGCGAATTGGCTATGCGTGTGCCACATGCGGCCAGAGTCTGGCTGTGACTGATGAGAGCAGTATCGGGGTCGGTTGTATTGATATGGACAAGAGCACCACGAACGGCGCGATGGAGCGGACGAGTTAGACAACTGTCGTGGAAATGTGACGACAATCGACGTCAGCTTCGACGTTTTCTGCATTTGAAGACGGATGTCTCGGTGGCTGGGGCAGTCACGGCGGTGTTGGTGCGGGGGCGAGCTTGGCGTGGGATGCGGTCTGACTCATGTTTTTTTTGATTTATGACGAAAGCCCACAAGCGAGACGAAATCTATTTTTAGTTCTACACGTTCGTACATGGTGATTATCCGGTCCCAACTGTAAATCTATTTTTAGTTTTCCTTCTGACCAGAGGCTTTAGTGTTCGTAAACGGTTGATTATTCGTGAACAACATCCCATGACCCATCTTGCTGTCTACGTTCTTAATCTTTCAAGAAGACATGACCCCAACCCTGAGTGTATGGTCAACTTCTGGAGCTCCTCCAGAAGCGAGTCTTGTGGCAGATTTGCGCCTTCCGCTTCATCAACGACATATTCCTCAACATCTAGTCCACTTCGGTAGTCCCATGATCCTGAGCTCGTTGGATATAATGTTTCTGTTCAACGACTCGCAGTTGTTGATAATCGGGAATGTCATCGTTTCATGCAACCTCGTGTCTGTGGTCAAGTGGGGTCTGTACATTGGCCCTTCCGTACAGCTTCGTGACCGTGAGTTACGAGTCGGGTGGTAACCCGTGTGCGACCCTTGGCTGACGAGTTGATTTCGTCCAATGACCTTTATCTGATTGACTGGAGGCTTCACTTTACAGTTAAACAACAACAAATTTCCTACGATATTGCATCGCCAGCGGTCATGATGCTTTGGCCACTTGACTAAAGTCCAATTCGTTCAACGAAGACGATGGACGGCATCACTTGTGTAACTGTTAGCCGTCGTTAGTTTCATGCTGTCATCTTCTTTATCACGGGACCACCGACGCTTGAGATTTGACACGAAGGCAAGGTAAAACATCGAGTATGAGAAATATCATGACATTTGGTAACGGTAAAATCCGTGAGGTAGTAATAACGTCAACGTTCGCAAAACACTGTGGCCGTGTGGTTTGCCTATCTCCTTTGATTACAATGTACAACAAAACACGATTGAATATGATACATTGATTATAAAATTTGCGGAACCGTGTCGGTGCCGCCGGTCCATATACTTGGCATTCCTATCACTGGTCTAGACAAGTATGAGTAATCCGGGTTGGCGTCATACGGGAAACGACGCCCAGGACGCAGTGATACATCAAGGAAACTTCACATTAGGACCTTTGGACATGACGGCACTGGTGATGCTAACGAGGTTGGCGGGGTCTTGAATCGGTTTGACTAGCGTGTGGCGAGGAGTCGTGCCGCTGGTGTACGTGGAGACGCCGACGGATGCCACGCCACACGCAAGACAATGCCCACAAGCGACCTTTTGCTCGCCTTGTCCTCGGCCGCGATCACCTCGCGGGAGCAACGGCTGAGGGTGGTCATAAGGTCGACTGGTGCGAGTAGTGCCTGGGAGTGGTGTTTTTGACATCAGCATTGCCAAGTGCACCACAATCGGCGCGATAGATCGGACTAGGTTGGATAGTTGGCACGAGGACTCGCGCAATTGATCGCCTACATGTCAAATGTCTCCGTGGCTGGTGCGGTCGCAGAGAGTTGCGGAAATCGCTCGGATGTCATGGGTGCTGGCGCTGCTGCAGTCATTCCGGCATGGACAGAGTCTTCACAACCACGCTGTTGCGTCGCTTCGACCACATCATTATTGTGGTTTTTGCCCATAGACGCATTACTAAAGGCGCATCGGGACGAGACGTTACGACCGCACGACACTCAACGGCCAATCAATTCCCATCTTCAGAAAGTACACTGTAGATACATTGCATACAGGACTACATATTAGTTTACCCAGCTGTGGCCTTCGAACCACTGGCTGTCAGACTCCTAGCTAGCTTAACCTTCAATAACTCACTTGTAAACCCTTACTTCCTCCTATTCTTTCGTCCCTATCACGGCATACGGCGACCAAGACCTGCAAGCAAAGTCAATAGGTTATGAGCCCAATGACAGAACGCTACATGTACGAGCAACCAAACAAGCTAAAGGCCGACGGCTCCAGCTACCGTGAATGGTGCGTTAAGACGCGAGCCAAGATCAACCAACAGAAGTTGGGCAAGTACCTACAGCCGTGCTACGATCCGGACGGCAAGTACAAGTCGGGCCTGGAAATGGACGACGACCTGGTGGCGCTGTCCTACATCCAGCTGTCAGTTCACAACGACCATCTCAAGTACATCCAACATGTAGAGACAACGTATGACACGTGGAACGCGCTCAAGGCCATCTACGAGAACACGTCAGAAGTCAGCCTGGTGACGCTGCAAATGAAAATGTACAAGCTCGACTGGAGCGAACGGATCGGCCTCGAGTCCTTCGCCGACCAGTTCCAAGAACTCACGCGCAAGATGACCGCCGCCGGCGATGGCACCCCAGAGCGGTCGCACGTCACCCGGTTCCTGTGCCTACTGCCACCGCGCTTCGCGAACACCGTAAGTTACATTACGCGCGAGAGCCGCGACACGACCAAGTTCGCCACGATGCGGTCCGTCCTAGAAGAGCTCAAGTTAGACGACGAACGTCAGCAGCTCAGCAACCCAAGTCTACGCAAAAACGCCGACAGATCGGACGACGCGCTCAACGCGACGGTCAACGGCGAATGCCACTACTGCCACAAGGCCGGCCACTTCCGGAGCGAGTGCCGCCGTCGACAAAACGACGAAGCCAAAGGCGTCCAGCGGCGCAACGTGCGGGACAAGCCACAAGGCAATGGTGGCGGACGTGGCAGCTATGACGGCGGCCGGAACGGCGGCCGCTTCAGCGGACGAGGACGTGGACGCAACAGCGGAAATGGTCGTGGCGGAGGCCGCCCGAACTGGCGCGGCGCCGATCATGGCAACTACGCCGAAGAAGTCGAAATGGAAGATATCTTCATGATTGAAGAAGACCTACCTGTGACCAGCTGTCCGGATGACGAGGACACATGGTGGCAGACAGACGTAGACCCGGCCATCGAGCCCGAAACCGACGATGTCTCCACAGAGCTGTGTCAGTATGCGACGGACGAAACCGACGAGTGCAACGCTGCGGCGATGTACGTGCGTGAAGCCATCATCGACAGCGGCGCCACCGCGCACATGACAGGCGACATCGATTTGCTGCACTCCGTCGTGGCCTGTGCCCGCGGCGTCCGCCTAGCCGACGGCCACCCCATTCCCGTGACGGCAATGGGTGACCTGAAGATCAAGTCAGATGAAACAGGACGCACGGCAACGTTCAAGAACGTCCTTTACGTACCGACCCTCAAGAAGACACTCGTGTCTATCAGCCGAATCAACCGCCAATCGAACGACGCCTCGCTCGTCTTCAAGAAGGATCATTG